TACGCTGCCACTGCTCTTCAAGGTCCTAGTACGCTCGTACTTGGAACATGGCAACGTCGTCTGGGGCCCCTACGGCAGACTGGACCGGAAGCGGCTAGAGTGGGTTTAGGGGCGAGCATCGCGTCTTGATCACGAAGTGAGCTACTGGCCATACCCTGAGAGGTTCCGACTCCTTCAGTTGCCCTCGCTTTACTACTGTCGTCGCATGGGGGACATGGACCTTACAGCTGTATCAGCTGCTTCACGTCACTGCGGGGGGAGGAGTTCCTGACCAGACACAACTCGGAGGTGACGAGAGGACACCATCAGAAGCTGAGATAACCTTGAGTTAGGACTCTCGTCAGTTGTAACTCGTTCAACACGTGGGTCGTTAACGATTAGAACGCTCTTCCACACCCGGTCGTACCGCCAACCTCAGTTGAACAGTTTAAATCTATGCTTGATAAGCACTAGGCGAACATCATTTTTGGCATTCCACACTGACTCCATTATTTGAGACTGTTGATTACTGGACCGGGGGCCTGCCGAGACCGGGACCGACAGGCCTAGTGGCGTATAATTCCTGATCATCATGAGGTAAGGTGAGGTAAGGTTTTCAGTAATTAGCTTTGCGAAGCCAGCTGCGCCATATTCACGATCGCTGTGCTCGGTCACGGCAAAAAAGTGGAGGTGGTGCCCGTGGAGTGGAGGGCCGCTGTCGGAGAAAAGGTGGGGAATTAGCGTTGAAAAATGTTATTACGGATACAATAATTTGTTGACACTGCGCGTAAGTCTTGAAACGGGCCGTAGGGATGTGCGTAGCTGTAACTTGCCGCAGCTAAAATCTGTTCTGCTTGTGCCGTGTTCAACCACACGGCGATGTTTGGCATCACGATGCCCATGCGATACTGTTGTGTTAAATTGTGACTGATTTGCAGGCACACTTAAGCATAAGATGCTGTCCACAAGCCCCTCTCCTCATAGTAGACGGTTTGCCTCACACTAGTTTTGAATGATTCTCAAACACATTTGAGTTAACAGTATGCTGCTCATCTCTGCCCATTTGCAATACTGTATGTATCAATGAGCATCTCTAGCGTCATTTATGGATTACAGGACTGCCAAGTCATGCTAAGTCCCACCTCCATGGGCTCTAGGGGTGGTCAATGGGTCCAGGAAGCCCTTGTCTCACCTTTGCCTATCATCTTTTCACAGTTTTCACTGCAGCTTGGTGTTGGTACCTGCTAATTCTAGAAAAATGTGCATCCTGCAAAAACTTAGGCTTGGTTTATTGTTCTTTTTAACACTTCCCTGTTAGCCTCTGAATGTTTTTCTATGTTGATAATTGTGTTTAAAAGGGTTTGCTGTTTACTGTATGGTTTTTGCTAGATGTGTTTAAGGTACCTCACAGCTAGCGCTCATATTGATTTGGGGTGAGTCAGAATGTATGAAAGGTGTGAGCCAGCCTTAAAGGCTTAATCAGATTTAGTTTGCACAGGATGATTGAAAGCAGTTTTGTGGTCAGAGTATATGCTCTATGTAAACAGCTTTATGTATCACATTTTGAATTAACTATAAAGTGAATGAAACACAAATAGGATTGCTTATAAGAAGATTTTGTGGTCCAGTCATGCTGTCAGTCACCTTAGATTTGCTGGGTATTATTGGAATTGATACCTAGTAGGCTAACAGTTTCAATACCAGATACAACACCTTGTAGTGTTATTCATATTCTAGTGTGGAAACTGTGGGAAGTTGCAATAAGACTTCTGTTACCTAGTGTGAACCTTAAAGCTCATATTCAGCGCTTGCCCGGTTTCCACATTTTTCACAGTGCTGATGGTAAGGGGGCCATGCAGTCCCCTGCTGTCTCCAAACTGAGGAAGTTGAAACACAGCTGAAATTACCAGTTGATTGGTTGAGTCAAGATCTGGCATTTGGTAATAGATTTAATACTGCTTGGTGTATAGCTGGCTCAATTATGCCAAGTCACAATCCAAATTTCCTGAAAATCTGGCTTTCAGCCTGACATGCACAAATGTACAAGACCATGCCTTGTAGGGCCACAAATCTTAGACAGGTGTGTTCCTTGTTCAATTCTTAGTACATCTGTGCAGTCTAATGTATTTTGGTCATATATTTGTGATGTCTAGCTCAGTTAAAGGGAATGCTCCACATTTGAGGATCTTAAAGCAAGCATCAAACATGCTGACATGGCTTACCTATATTTATTGGTATACTGTTAAGTGGAAAAGGCTGATCTAGACAACATGTTTTTTCATTTACTTTTAAGTAAATATGTTACTCACTACATCATTGTTTGATTACATCATCATACCTTGCACAGCATTGATTGAGAACCAATTGATGTCTGTGATATCTGGAAATTCTGCCCACAAATGCCAGCTGTGTTCTTGGCTTGTCACAACTTAATTATGTTCTTCCTGGCCTTGACCACTACTTGGCTTATCAAATGGCAGAATTTGAATGATTTTGCTGTATGAATGCTTAGACAACCTTGAAATGGTATCCCTGAAATAGTTTACACGCAGGGGGTGCATAGCGCAGAAACTAGAGGTGTTTCGGTCGAGTGCTATGAACTATACCAACTGATCATTAAGATAGCTATTTCAGTTTAAACCCCCATACAAATGTGGAACACTTCCTTTAAGCATGCGCTCGGGTGGAGGTGGGGTCAAATTGACCCCCCCCCCCAAAGGTTTTTCCAGAATGGTTTGCGAATGGAGTGGCGTAGCCGCACTAAATTTTGCATGGCTGTAGACAATTGAATAGCGGATTGTGTGGTGAAAACTTGAGATGTACCCTGTAACCTGTGGCGCCACCTGTGCTGACCTATGGCAATTCAAAGTCAGGCCATGGTTTCAGCAGAGCCAATTTGTAGGGAGACATTCAATCTGATGCATCAGCAGTGTTAGATGAAGCCATACATATCTGAACTGCCTTTTTAGACAACACAACAAATGAATGAGCAAATTGCATTGACCTAAGGTCAGGTATGAAGATCTCACCAAGGTCAAAGCCAACATGTTTTATTAGTCTAGGGCCTGCTGTATGGGGTAGTTTCTGGTGCTTATTTCGAATTTATTGATAGCAGGAACTGCATTTTACATCTTCCATTCACTTATTGGAGGTGAGAATAGGCCACTGACCTAAAGTGGCCCAGGTCAACATTTGGTTTTGGGAGCATGCTGCCTAGCATAATCTTTGTCACTTATTGAAATGCAAAACTCAGGGCAGTCTTGTATGATTTTGGTCGCCATGACTCAATAGGTTCTGGGGGTGCTTTGGAGACCAACTGGGAATTTGACCTTGTTTGACCTTATTTGACCAAAAAGTCATAACCTGGGAACCTCAAACTTTGATCTAAGCGAATTCATGTACAGGTCAACACACCCTGTGGATTTGGTGTCTCTAGCTCTCATAGTTGTCGAGATCTCAGGGGGGTCAAATTGACCCAAGCGAAGGGTGTCCAGCCGGCCACCTGGGCACGTGTTAATGTAACAGCGTCGGCCCACCGTGCGCGTTCCGCGGAATCGCCAGTTGCTGCCGCCCGCCTGTGCCGGCCGTAAATGTGCGTGTAGTCTCCTTCAAAAATCGCCGCTCCAAAAAATCCGATGGACACGTTTTTGCGTCAAAACACGCCCAATTGACGCCCCATGGGCTCCTGAAAATTGTGTTGCGAGTGCACAACATGCCGGAAATGTATCTTCAGAAAACCTTGTGGGGGAGGGTTGCGCCCCCCCCCCCCGACTCCTTCCTAAGAGGACGAGGGAAATTTGAGATACCTGTCAGCCCCGGCAGTGTTTTTTGTTTATTTCTTTACTTAAGCACTACTCTGACATTTTGGATCGGGCGTACTACTTTGCGTTCCACATTCCAGAGTCAGGAAAATAAGCTTGCTGATCCAGATCTTTCTGACCCCGTGAAAAAACATTTAACAGTTTCCTGGGGTGGGATCCATAAATTTGACTGTGTACTGGTAAATTTGACCATTGTTCTGGCTCAAATGTTCCATGCTAGATGGAAGGCTTACTTCACTGTCGCTTTGCTGCACTGCACCATGCAGATGATTGCATGCTCTATTGATTAGCATGACAGAAAGTTATTCTATAGTTTGGATCACTTGGATGGGACAACACCTTGTTAACAGTATGTGCTGAATAAGGCTCCTGGTCCTAAGTTGGCTGAAACCAATTATCAGCACACATCTTTATCGGTCAAAAGGCTACTGAAACTCTATGCAAGTGGCATGCTGTATGAGTGCTGTATATGTGATATGCTGTGTACATACCACATGGGTGATGTGCTGTGTACATATTGTACATGTCATATGCTGTGCCTTAAATGGCCTGAAATTGTCTCATAATGTCCCATTGGCTGACGATAGCTGAACTGCCCGCGACAATTATGGGCGTTTTTCCCATTGTATTTACCAGGTGTGATGTCAGTGTGGAAGGGAGGACCAGTGCCAGAGCACCTCACCACCTGACAGACACCTGCTGGCAACCATGGACGCGGCGGTGGGCGGAGAGACGTACCAGGTGGTGGGCACGGCCAGCCTGACCGGCCTGGAGGCCGCCCAGGTGGTGGTGGCTGACCAGCAGGGCATGCACTACATCACCGACGACGGCAGCGGCGGCGAGTGGTTCGTGGTGCAGCAGTGCGACCACCAGGTGGGCCCGGCGCGCGCCTCGGGAAGCCGGACGGTGATCTCGCCCCGGCGATCCTGGCTGCCGTGTTCAGCCGTGATGAGTTTAATCGCAGGTCGTGGTCTTTGGCGAGCTTGCCGGCTGCTTTGTGGAGCTTTCATTCACTCAGCGATTGTGTGTTCTGTCTGGTGCGCCGTATCTGCGAAGATCGTGCCGTCCATCTAACGTCCCAGCTGTCAGCACCTGGCGACGGAGCCGTGACACTGCGCATGCGTGGTGTGACCGTCAGGTGCTGGCGCCGCCCCCGGACGCCGGCGGAGGTCAGCTGGTGCCTGGGGACGCCGGCGGCGCCAGCGGTGCCCGCTGCATGGTGTGCCGCGCCGCCCTGGCCGGCCTGGCCGGCGGCTGGTCTGTGCAGAGCTGCTACACCAAGCACGGCCAGCAGGTGTTCCTTACCCTGCTGATGGACATCCTGCTGCCTGGCGGAGACGTGGCCAGGTCAGTGGTCGCGGCGGTAGTCGAGCCCACTCCTCCGCAGCACGCGGCTTTCATGCGAGTAGCTCCGTTAAGCGGGGTATCGTACTGATGACCACGTTAAATCCCGTTTGTCGACAGCAAGGCCAGAAAGGGACAGGCACTCGGGTGAGTCCGGTTCAAGGAAAATGCCAGCGTTTTCGCCATGTCTGGGACCGTGCGCATGCACGAAGTTACCATCACGTCCTCTGACTTCACGGCCTGTGGTCCTCCACTCACTGATGATCATTGACTACGGCAGAGTCGCTCTTCGGCGTAAATAGCCCTTTTTGGGCGAGCGAGGAGACCACGAGCTCACCAGTGACCGCACATCTCAGCAATATCATGGTCATCTCGCAAGACCAGTATCTCACCGCTACCACCGGTCATCTCCCTAGACAGTGTAACGGAGTGAAGTACTCCTGACCCCTGCAGCCTCGCTCGCCGAGACAGTGAGAGCTCCAGCAGGAAGGCGTGCTCCTTCAGACTCAAATGTTTCCGTGCGTGGGTGGGCTTGATGCAACATCCCACATGTCATGACCGATATCCGCGCAAGCGTGTGCATGTGCTTTTCCTATAAACATCGTAAACCCGGGCTGGGCTAGCCAGCACGCCGCGCACAGCGCCTGCCACCACACGTGTGCAGTGCCGGAGGTAGATGGCGCGGCGGGCTTCTCTCACCGGCCGCGACCGTCTCGTGCAGGGTGTCCGGCTGTGACGACCGCGTCTGCGATGGCTGCGCCTCGCTCCTGAACGAGGTGGACGAGTGCAGCCACAAGCTGCGCGCCGCTCGCCAGCAGATCCGCGACAAGTACAAGATGGCCGCGCTGGCCGCCGGCGACGCCGCCATGGCCCACCAGGTGGTGGCCGCGGCAGGTCAGTAGAGACGCTGGCGCTGGGGCGGCCTGCTCGCTGGTCTGATGACGGCTGTCGAACGCCCCCCCCCCCCCCCCGTGGTGTCGCAGTAATTGCGGGCTGTTGTGTACAGAGCGTGCGTTATAGAGAGAACTGAAACTTTTCGCAGTACTGTTCGATTTTTGTGACGGTGGTACGCTGATGGAGAGGATCGAAGTGGCCCTTTCCCAAACGATACCCTGCGTCTCGTAATCATCGGCTAGGTGAGGTAATGGCAAGGGATCTCACATCAGACCAGTTATTGAATAGCTTCCATCTGTATTACCCTGTGTCTGTCTGATGCCGTAGGTGTATGTTTGCCGGGCTCTGGTACCTTGCCAGCTCTGATGTGCTGTGTCCCACAGCCAGGGACGTCAGCGGCCAGAAGCACGAGGTCGCCCTACTGGAGGAGACGGATCTCATGGAGCAGGTGTGACGCCTTATCTGATAGGTCAGGCGCCTCAGGTGCCAGCTGGGGCAGGACGGAGGACGGTACCGGCCGATGCGGGCTGATATCCGTGTCCCAGTGTCATGATGTGTGGCCGTCAGCTGGCCTGTAGGGGACACGTGACGGCTGTCCTCCGTTATGTCCTGTCGCATCCACTGGTCCTTGTAGCATGTGAGGCGGTTTAGCCAGTCGTAATGTAACAATGTGGAGATGGGTGTAATAGTGCCAATTCATTAGTTGAAATGGCTCGACACAGTGGGGTGCTCCTGAGCTTGTGAACCCACCTACTGGTGTAACGCCAGTCGACGGGGATTGGCCTTGTTCCAGGTCGCTGGGAGCTCACCTGTTCAAGAGTCTCCTGCTAAGGCAGACGAGTTGCAGGTACAGTATATCCACAGCCTGACAGCTTGTTCTGTCTTTCTGTAACGTGATGAATTTCCCCTCTTAGACTGGCTTTAGTAATAGTTCGACGATGGCCCGGCCCCCAGCGGTACCACTGTTCTTCGGTCCCTTGTTCACACGGCCATGGCGCCGCCGCTCCACCGATGGCGGTGCTAGCCCAGCTCCCACTACTTCGGTCCCGGTCGCCTGCCGTCCCAGCTGCGCCGCCGCCGCCGCTGCTGCCCCCCCCCCCCCCCCCATCTCCCCCTGCTGACCCCGACCCGGGCCGTGCTGTTGCAGCCGGTGGAGGAGGCGTCTAGCGCCTCGCTGCGCCGAGCGACACTGCGCTGTCCTACCTGTCCGCGCCGGCTCAGGACGCCCGCTCTGCTGGCCAGCCACGCGGCCAAGTGCCGACCACCGGCCGTCGCCGACGTCGCCGACGTCGCCGCCGACGTGGCGGGCGGCGCCATCCCGGCCGACGTCGAGCCCCAGCTGTCCTGCCACTGCGGCGAGCAGTTCGGCACCGCCGCCCAGCTGACGCTGCACAAGCGCACGCGCCACTGGGACGCCACCAAGTACCTCTGCGACGTTTGTAACGTACAGCTGAAGAATCCGCGAGCGTTCGTCGAGCACATGCGCAAGCACGGCGAGACGCGGCCGTTCCGGTGCGACGAGTGCGACAAGCGCTTCACGCTGGCCAGCAGCCTGCGCACGCACCGGCGCTTGCACACCGGCGACAAGCCGTACCAGTGCGAGCTGTGTGGCCGAGCCTTCTCGCAGCACACCTCGCTGCAGAGCCACCGGCGCACGCACACCAACCAGCGGCCGCACGCCTGCGACGAGTGCGACCGCACCTTCCGCGAGACGCACGCGCTCAAGAAGCACAAGCTGATCCACTCGGGTGAGAAGCCGTACCGCTGCGAGCTCTGCGACCAGCGCTTCCGGCAGAAGGGCGTGCTGCAGCGGCACATACGCACGCACACGGGCGAGCGGCCGTACCGCTGCGACCAGTGCGACGGCGCGTTCATCGATTCTGGCGCGCTCAAGATGCACAAGATCCAGCACACGGGCCAGAAGCCGTTCTACTGTGAGCACTGCGGCAAGGGCTTTTCCGACTCGTTCTGGTTCAACAAGCACAAAATGTACCACAGCGGCGAGCGGCCTTTCCAGTGCGACGTCTGCCCCAAGGCGTTCACGGACGCACGCATCCTGCGCCACCACAAGAAGCTGCACTCAGGCGACCGGCCCTACATCTGCTACGTGTGTGGCGCGCGCTTCAGCAACTCGTCCCACCTGACGCGTCACAACCACATCCACACTGGCGCCAAGCCGTTCGGGTGCGACGTGTGTCGACAGACGTTCCGCGACAAGTCGACGCTGAAGCGACACCTGAAGACGCACAGTTGTCGCAAGACGCTCAGCTGTCCCGACTGCGCGCGCACCTTCCCGCGGCGCGACGCGCTGTTGGCGCACCGCCGCGAGCCGTGTGTGGATGCGCTGGCGCTGGCCGTGAGCGCCGCCGGGCCGCCGGGCTTCACGCACTCCGAGAAGCCGCTCTACAGCCTGAAGCCGCTGCAGCCGGAGCTGGCCGCCGACGGCGCCGTGCTGCAGCTGCAGCCGGTGCAGCCGACGCTGCCCGGCCTGCAGCAGCTGCAGCAGCCCCAGCAGCAGCAGCAGCCCCAGCCCCAGCAGCAGCCCCAGCAGCCTCAGCAGCAGCAGCAGGAACACCAGCAGCAGCCCCACCAGCAGCAGCAGCAGCAGCAGCAGCAGCAGCAGCAGCCTCCACAGCAGCACATGATGCAACAGTACTAGCAGCCGCACCCGGGGGTGGCACAGCTGTGGAGTGGCGAGGCGGGACGGCGTGCTGCTGCCGTCGGCGGACGGGTGGCACAGCTGTGGAGTGGCGAGGCGGGACGGCGTGCTGCTGCCGTCGGCGGACGGGTGGCGGCACCTCCGTGCCACCCTGTCATCATCAGTCATGCGTGCAGCTACAGAAGCTCGCCGAATTCTTACCCCAGCATGGTGGCCGCGACGTTTAAGTGTGGTCAACGTATCGGCACGCGCCGGCTGGTCGTTGATCTGATGTTTTTATACAGGCATGCGTCGCAACTGTTGACAAGACGTCTTTTGGTAGTGTGAATCCTTTACTCCCATCTTTCGTCTCGTAGTTGCCCTCAGTCGTGCGTTTTGCGATGTTTGTTTTTTCCGCGGGCGCTGCAGACATATTATTGAGCATCGTTTTTCAATAACACAGCAGCGTTGACATTGTTCGAATTTGGTACTAGCAGCCGTATCCGGGGGGTGGTACAGCTGTGGAATGGCGAGGCGGGACGGCGTGCTGCTGCCGTCGGATGAGCACTTTCGGGCGGTATGTTGCATCGCCAGCGAGTCCAAGTGCTGTTTCTTCTTCACAGAGACCGCGACAAACCGAGATCTCTTGAGAAATCCCTACGATCGGTGGTGCCTTTTCCTCACCGAAATGACCGGTGCCGGTGGGCCGGTGCCTTCCTTCCACACCCGTCCTGGCATGTCTCCCGCGTGCTGGGCCGAAAACTGCCCCAACAGCGGGCCGACCTGGGAATGCCCGATGTGCCCTCCTTACATGATGACCACCAAATAACGGCAGTCAGCGGCGCGCCTGTAGGCCGCAGTTATCATCAGCATGCCCCGCTGAGCCCGTGTGCACACGTATACTATGCTTCAGCACACACATACGCCTCTGTATGAGGACGGCTGGCCACTTCGTGCCGCCTGGTGTGCACAGCATGCGTTGCGCGCCGCTCAGTAATATCAGACTTGAGAACAAGGTGAGGCTTTATTCATACAGATTGACTCGCACAGTCACGGCCTTGGATGGCTGCTGTTTACACGAAAGTGATGTTCGAAGTCTGCCTGTCACTAAGGAAGTGAACCTATCAGCTGCACGAGAGCAACGACCTGACTTGGCCAGGTTTCGCAGCAAGCACGTGCGTTGATAACCGCGGAGCAGTTGGCAACTCTCTTGCCGTCCGTCTGGGCGCCTCTCAAAGCTCGATTTATGGGCTGGAACGGACGCGAGCCTAGTTGTCTGCAGTGGGAGGCTCGTACTTCAGGTTGAAGTTGAAGGACAGGCACCCGAGTAGCGTGGCGGGCGCCGACTTGGAGAACAGCGTTACGTTGCCGTGGTAGCCTCCCTGAAATGCGTCAGCGGGCGGGTTTGATGTGGAACGACGAAACAAAACGCGACCACCTTACTTTGACAGGAGTTTCTAGCAAGCTCTTTCTCTCCATTACCTCCGAGCAAGCCTGGCGCGATAGCAGCCAAGCATCTCGTGCCCGCAATTCTTCTGTCCCATGCAGGACCCCCGTCAGCAGAAGCAGCCGATGGAACGAAGCCCAACTCCACAGCCCACGCCAGTCCTGGAGGTCACGTACCGCGATGATCTTGTCGATGGCCTCTCCGAGGTCTGGCAGAGTGATCTTAAAGCCGTCAGACTGGTAATGTCCGGCCTTCAACACGCAGCCGCACGGTATGTCGGGTGGGAACAGCGGACAGAATACGTCCGGAAACTTGGTGATGTAGTCGCACATGTCCACGTCACTGCAACACAGAGTTTGGGTCTGCATGTGCGGGTGCATTTTTCGTATTTAGTGAACTGGCATTGGCCTGAGCATTAAACGGCGTCCCTCATAGGCTACAAGGCGTGATAGCCGACCAGCAAACCGCCAGTTATGAAGCAGAAGATGAATTGGTTTTGTTTGGCCATCAGCGGTATGTGCTCGAAGCCAGCGAGTTTGGTTTGTGACGGACCTCACGATCAGCGATGTGTGCTTGGAGCCAGCGAGTTTGGTTTGTGACGGGCCTCACGATCAGCGATGTGTGCTTGAAGCCAGCGAGTTTGGTTTGTGACGGGCCTCACGATCAGCGCTGTGTGCTTGAAGCCAGCGAGTTTGGTTTGTGACGGGCCTCACGATCAGCGCTGTGTGCTTGAAGCCAGTGAGTTTGGTTTGTGACGGGCCTCACGATCAGCGATGTGTGCTTGAAACCAGTGAGTTTGGTTTGTGACGGGCCTCACGATCAGCGCTGTGTGCTTGAAGCCAGTGAGTTTGGTTTGTGACGGGCCTCACGATCAGCGATGTGTGCTTGAAGCCAGTGAGTTTGGTTTGTGACGGGCCCCACGATCAGCGCTGTGTGCTTGAAGCCAGTGAGTTTGGTTTGTGACGGGCCTCACGATCAGCGATGTGTGCTTGAAGCCAGTGAGTTTGGTTTGTGACGGGCCTCACGATCAGCGCTGTGTGCTTGAAGCCAGTGAAGTCACATCGGAAGATTGCACAATGGGAGCTAATTTAAGCGCGCCTGAGTGCAGTATTCCCTGCTGATTGTCAACGACCAGATACCCGTTGTGTCTGGGGTCGTTCCAGCTCTGCGCCAAGTTGTGCTCCAACTCTAAAACGTCTCTGGGGAAGGAAGCTGTTGCTGGCGGGACGCCTCAAACACAAGTACCCGCGTCCTCCGAGACAGCAGCGAAAGCCCAAACCGGCTGTTCTTTTACCAGACACAAAAATCCCCAGAAATGACCAGACCTTTGCGAAGAGTCTTTGTGTCAGATGACCAGGACAGCTGAAGCCTTACCAGCTGCCGAGACCTTTCATGCAGGGCACCTCGATATCGTACGGATCCTCCTTGATCACTTCGACCTTGAGGATCATGTCATCGGGCCAGTCCGAGCGCAGGTCGCCCTGGAAGGCCAGGGTCATCGACCCCGGGACGATCACTGGGTCAGGCGACACTGTGGCGTCATGGAACACGGCCCCGGGTGTCAGACCTGCCGGCGGGGGACGGACGTCACAATCTGAAGTCACCGAACACCGCCCCGGGTGTCAGACCTGCCGGCAGGGGACGGACGTCACAATCTGAAGTCACCGAACACCGCCCCGGGTGTCAAACCTGCGGGCGGAGGCCAGACGTTACAATCTGGCGTCATTACCCCCCCCCCCCCCCCCCGGGCGTCAGACCCATATATATCTAATGCCATTAGATCGGTAGCACTTATGCTAAATTACAACCAGACGTGTGCAAATCGGAAGAGAGACATCGGCTGCTAAATGGTATAGACTCACAAGTAAAACAAACGAGGGTAAGCCGGGCGAGTTACGGGCAACCCAACCCAACGGTTCTCTTTTGAGAAACGCACGCGCCAATCAGCCGAGATCAACGCTTCGTTTGCTCACGTCGTACATGTCATCGTTAGCCATACCCCGCCCACTCACACATGCGGGTTTAGTTTAATGCCAAGCACAATGCCCTTCTTTGCGGACTGCACACTCTGGGTATAGCCGTTTCCACTCTGGTGGCATTATATTTCTGCGGTCAGACCTGCTGGCAGAGTTCATACACCACGATCTGACGGCATTGAACGCCGCCGCGGGCGTCACACCTGCCGACGGGGCTTCAGATAAGACGCCAGGCTCAGTCCACATGTACGCCGTCCGACCGACTGATGAAGGGAATGGTGTACAGACCCTGGTGTACAGAACCGGGTGTACAGAATCTGGTATACAGACCCTGCTGTACAGGGCCTGGTGTACAGACTTTGGTATTCAGACCCTGGTGCATAGACTCTAGTGCACAGACGCGCTGGTTGGCCATACACGCGTGGGGCACGGAAATGACGCACTAATTTCCCCGACGACATCGTTGGCCGCTTGTTCTGAATGCGTCACTGGACGTTACCGCCTGGGCCGCCTCGTCCACCACTGATTCCAGAGCTGAGCCGCCTCATCCACCACTGCTTCCAGAGCGAGCGACACGTCAATGGCCATCTCGGCTCAAGTCCTGCCACATGTGTCTGCAAGCACGCCCCCGAGCCGCCAGGACGCCGACTTACCGCAGTCTAGCGATACCCCGGCAGGCACGCCCCCGAGCCACTAGGACGCCGACTTACCGCAGTCTAGCGCTGCCCCGGCAGGCACGCCCCCTGGCCGCTAGGACGCCGGCTTATTGCAGTCTAACGGTACCCCGGCAGGCACGCCCCCTGGCCGCTAGGACGTCGACTTACCGCAGTCTAGCGATACCCCTGCAGGCACGCCCCCGAGCCGCTAGGACGCCGACTTACCGCAGTCTAGCGCTACCCCGGCAGGCACGCCCCCGGGCCCCCGGGACGCCGACTTACCGCAGTCCTTGATTTCGTTGGCGGTCGCCAACGAGGCCAGCAGCGTGACCGCGGCCAGGAGCATCATGTCGACCGCGCTGACCGGCCAGGCTCTCGGACTTGGTGGTACTGACGCTCCACCGATGCATTTATATCCGAGCCGGGGAACGGCAGCAGCTGCCGCGCGACGCTCGCACGGCCCGGGACTTTGACCAGCGGAACTCTGCTATCTCGACGGTTTTTGTTTCTCGAGCTCATTTGATGAGTTTTGAGCGCGCATGATAAGTATTCGCCGCTGATTCTGCTGCTTTGTGTAATGACTGGATAAGCTTGTATACATTGATGTCTGGTATATCGGATACGGAGCTGCTTTCACAGCAACCCTGCAGCCGTCTATCAACGCTCACGAGGGTGTGATGCTTTAAACACTCCGGTCATGTAGGTGCAGGAAAGTGTTATGTACAGGTGAGGTTTTCCCATGCGCCCTGCATAATAACAGCGTAAATCATCATTAAAGCTTTCACGGTGACATCACCACAGGAACCTGCAGGACAGCTGGCACAGGCGCTGCACAGGAAGCACAGGCGCTGCACAGGAAGCACATGAGCTGCACGGGAAACACAGGAGCTGCACAGGAAGCACAGGCGCTGCATAGGAAGCACAGGCGCTGCACAGGAAACACAGGACAGGACAGGACAGCCGGCACAGGCGCTGCACAGGAAGCATAGGCGCTGCACAAGAAACATAGGAGCCGCACAGGAAGCACAGGCGCTGCACAAGAAACACAGGAGCTGCACAGGAAACACAGGAGCTGCACAGGAGGCACAGGAGCTGCACAGGAAGCACATGAGCTGCACGGGAAACACAGGACGGGGCAGGACAGCCGGCACAAGAGCTGCCGCTGAAAGGAGACCGGTTACCCTGATCACAGCTCAGCTCCATACAGCAGAGCGCACAGGTAAGCAGTCTTCTGTGTCCTTTTTTCCCTGACGTACCTTAGATCGACTTCATCCAGCACGCTCCAAGCTCGATTCGACCACTCTCACGCACCCCACGCACACTAGGTATGGAAACGCTGGAGACCCCATTTATGAAGCGAATTCGCACATCCACCGACCGGCAGCGCGTCCGGCTAT